GCCCTCCCTCCAGGGACCTTACCAACAGGAGGGACAAGGAACCGTGCGGCCCAACCAGGGTGACCCCGAGCCCTGTCCGACCCTCAGGAACTCTGGCCTGAAAGAGCAAAACCTCTGAGGAGCATGTGAGGTGTCACAGGGCAACGAGAAAGCCAGGTGCTGGCGGCCTCTGTGAGGGGATGCGTGGTACCCCGCTGCTCCCACCAGGCCTCTCTCTGCCCTCAAAGCTAGCGGCACGGCTGGCTTCCTGCAAACCAGAAGCAAAGAAACCCGCTTTTCACTGCTCGTTTTCATTCTCAGGCTACTGCCAATACCCTCTGCCATTTCTTAACCTCGGTGCTCCGGGAAACCTGATGTACCAGGACTGGCTCACAGCTGGGTCTCCCCAGTGAAGGTGAGAAAGGGTGAACTTACACTCTCGATTTCCTTACATGCCCTAAAGCTAACACAGGCACACTCAAGGCCCGAGAGAGGATGTGGCATTTACCTGATACCTCTAGGTGAGATGTGCCTGTTAAAGGGACCTTGAGTTGGTTCACCTCCGAGACGGGTGCAGTCCTTCGGTGCCACTTTATTCTCTCTTTATCCCTAAGTAGTGCCTGGCTCCTATCCTGGATCCTAATGAACTTCACTGTTCTGGAAGAGGGAACTGCTGCCAGGCTCACAGAGTAGAGACTACAGCAAGAGTCCTGGCTCCCCATCCTCGTGCTTCCACGGGGAGGGTCTGCTCTCCACCCTCCCTCTCCTCGTCTGTATTCCAAACGGACGAGACTGACCAATCAGTGAAACCTGACCTCAGCTCCTGTGGACTCGCCCCGTCGCCTCCTCTCTTGAGGGGCGCAGATGCTCTTCTATCACTGGCAGCCCTGCTGGGGCGGGCCTCTGCTCCGAGGACGACCGCCAGCAGGTCTCTGTGGGTCAGGTCAACCTTGGAGGGAGGGTGTGTGAGTACAGGAGTCTGAGGGGGCCTCATTCTGGCTACAGGTCAAGCTGGGTCATCTAATTCACCTTCACAATTGATTAAAGCTCATCTTTTTTTGTTTGTTTGTTTTACAGATTTTATTTATTTATTTATTTATTTTAGGGAGAGAATCCCAAGCAGACTCTGTGCTGAGCGTGGAGCCTTACTGAAGGCTTGATTGATCTCACTACCCTGAGATCGCCACGACCTGAGCCGAAGTCAAGAGTCAGACGCTTAACCGACTGAGCCACCCAGGCACCCCTAAAGCTCATCTTTTGATCCTCCATTATACTTCTGTGTCTACTTCTTAAATGGTTCAGATCTAGGCATGGGAGAGGGATAGAATTTACTGGAGTCCTCAGGCTCTAACAAGACCAAAGGAAACAGCATATGACACCTGAGGTCATTTGTTTTACGAAGACCTAGATTTAAAAAGACATCTCTAGCGATTCCTAAGCCTAATTCTATCCCCAAAGCATAGAAAACCCAAGCCACATGATCAAAAGAAAATGATGAGTGTTTAATAATAATAATAATAATAATAATAATAATAATAATAATAAACACCAGAAAAGGTAACAGTGCTCTCTGACTTTCAGCTGACTTCTCAGAGAAAGGAGCTATGTTCTCCAGCCATGGAAGCTGGTTTCTCTGCAGACCTGCCTCAGGGACTCAGGCCTACTTAGCTGAGCCCAGCCTCCCCTAATCAGGCTGGCTTCACTTTCAAGGCTCTGAGAGGGTCTGCCTTCAATCAGTCAAGAAACAGCTCCTCAGCATTGGCACTGCTTCCCCATGCCGGCCTGCCTGGAGATAACCATGGACTGCACCAGATCTTTCCAAGCTGTTTGAGGCCAGAATGAACACATTTTCTATCATCTGAACTCAGACCTCTGGAGCCATGCTGAAATCCTACTAGGGTAGGGCATAAGACCCTGTTCATAATGAGATTCTTTTTTCTGTGGTCCTGATATTTATGTCAGGCAGAACACATCTCAATCCACACACAGATCAATGTTCTGTGCCAAGGCCATCTTCCAAAAGAAATACAACCATCTTCTATCAGAGCAGGAATTGTGGTTCTTCAATAACCATAAAGGACTACAGATGACTGAAAGCTTTCACTTTTTACAAAAAATTTTCATATTTTACAAAAAATATTAGATTACATACATATGTGTGAATGACTATGTGTAAGTTAACATGATGTAACTAGCAAGGACAGTACCAGAGAACAGTCTGGTTAAGTTTTCTACTATTAGGGTTAGGAATGCATCTGACTGATGTTCACAGCTGAACTTAGCTGTAGTCCTGGGAACCACATGATGGTCTTGGGGTCCCAGTGTCCAGACTCTCTCCCCACATTGTATTTATAGCACACAGTATGAGGTCATGTGGCAGGGGGAGCACGCGTACTGAGTGTGCACTGTTCTGTGGGCAGCCTCCAGCCCTCATGCTCCTCCCCACACCAAGCAAGTACACAACTTTGATCCATCGCTGTGGGTGACTCAGAACTACACTTTCCTTTCTCTGTCACGTCGTCTTCACAGCCCACCAGTCCCACTCCCCATGAACACTGCACTGATCTGATTTCCTTGCCCTAACATTATTCTTCCCAATTCTTTCATTTCTACCCAGTCTGGCACATATTTCAAAAAATAAAGGACAGTTCCCTCTAAGCTACCAAACTTTTACATAAAAATAACAACAACAACAACAACAACAAAGCAGATTAGTAGATCTAGATCTAGATCTAGAAGACCCAGTGGCCAGTCTGGGGGTCCACGAGTTGAGGGATTTTCACTCTAACTTGGACCCGGGACTACCACTGACGCCCTCACTCATTTACCTTCTGCCACATCCTTGCTTCAAGTTCCCACCCTGGATGGCCCGGAGTGCTGGTGGTCTTTGTTTCCCCACTGAGGCGGAGCATTACAGCAAGTTCAGAAACTGACTCAGCGGACTAAAAGCCTCACGTGGTCCAATTTCCATCTGACTTTGCTGCTATTCCTTTTATTCATCTCTTGCCAGCTCCCCAGCGGTGGACATTTAAAACAGCTTTTCCAAAGCTTCTCCCTTCTCCCCAGACCCCAATTCCGGATAGCCCCGTCCACCCTCTCTGGCTGCTCTGCCTACAAATCAATCCCCTCAGATGACTTCACCTTCCCCCCCAGGCTCCACCACTCTCATTCTTGCTAGTTCCATCTCTTGGCATGGGCACCTATTCGCAATTGGTCATGTCCAGGATTTCACCTAGGTGAAGCATGGTGATCCCCAAATCCTTGTCTTGACCATGACCTGCCTCCAAATGCTGGCCACATGCTTCCAATTTCCCTCCTAGAAATTCCTCCAGGCGTGCCTTGCCATCATGGGCTCAAATTGGCCAGCCAATTTCAGCTTCTCACACCATCATTCTCCTGGGTACCAAGGCTCACAGTCAGGTGAGCACTGCAAAGGAGCACAGAACTTCACAGTTGGCAAGGACTTAAGGGCTCATTTGTATCAGGGTCAGCAAACTTCTGCTATAATAGTAGATATTTTAGATGTTGTGGGCTATGGTCTCTGTTGTGATACTCAACCCTACCCCTATAACATGACAGCACCAGAGATACTATGTATTATGGATGGGTGTGGCTGTAGTCCAGTAAAAGCACTTCAAGCCGGCTAGCCAACAGGCGCTAGCTTCCCACCACATGGTCTCTGTCACTATCCTAGTTAGGTTTTTGCCAGTTCCCTAATCAAATATTAGTTTTTGCTTATTTTTATGCCAGTGTCAAGCACATTATTCATTATATCTAGCAACTCACCTTTGACCCAAATATCCCTTCACCATAGAGAGGCCTGATGGGGAACTAGTCATGCCCACTGATTATCTCTGAAGCTGGACGTTGAACACAGGGCCACACAGTTTGCTTCACAAATGATTTCTCCCCCTGAATTTTAGCCAATTATCACCAATTTAATAATTTAAAGTGCCATTTTTTCAACTAGTGGGTTGCTTTCTTCAAAAGAAATCTGGCTTGGAAACTCATTAAATGAAAAAGGCAAAGCAGAACGAGTGTGGGAAGTGGTGTAAGCTCCTCTGCTGACTTGCTGTCCCTCGCAGGGGGCCCTCCTTCAGGTTTGTGACACAGAAGCCTCTACACTGCTTTTATCAATCACTGTATCATGAAAAAGGTTTTGAGCTACCCACCACCCTCCCCACTACATACTTGCAATCCTAGTATTGGCAAATATCCCATGATACAATATATACTTAGGGCGAAGTTTATCATTCATGAAAATGGATGTACATCTAGAAATGGTATTCTTGACAAGTCACAATCTTTTTGGCTGACGTACTGTCCAATGTGGCCAGAATGCCATTGTTTTTACTTTGAAGCAGGGTTGATGAAGGACTCTGACCCAGAGAACTGTTAGCTCTGTCATTTTCTTGCTTGTTTATGCTTATTTTAAAACTGTATTAACTCCAATCTTTACAGTAATCTTTTAAAGCCACCCATTATTTAATTTGGTTAAAACTAAAAAATATGTCCACAAATTCATTCGACTGGGCACATATACACTCTAACATGTAGCATTAAGTCAAGAGCAAATGAACTAGGGAGGGTGCCTGTCACCCTGGCCACCAATGGAATTTTGTGTTATCTCCTTTACTATACATGACATATGACCATCTAAGAAACCAACCAGTGAAAATGCCTAAATCACTCTGTATTATCAAAAATTAGAGAGCTAGTTAAGCTTAATATTTTTCTTTATGTTGGATAATAAAAATAAACAGTAGTTCTAGTCTCTGTCTGGAGGCCACCACTGTGAAAAACCATCTGGTTTAAAGCAAAAAGAAAGAACCACTCCCTGATTAGTGGGAAAGGTCGACATGACTTTTCATTCAGTTGACCCCTGCCCGAGGCCCTAAGCCTGCCGTCCAGCTGACAGCACAGCACGAGCAAGGCAGACACCCTACAGCAAGCCGGGCCCCATCGTGATGTTCTCAGATGCAGGGGCAGCTAAGGCAAACAGCAATCATCCTAGTGGTTACCTGCAAGTCATTTTGTGGGTTCCAGTCTGAATCAAATATGATGCAGGTATCGGCGGCTGTGAGATTGATGCCCAGGCCTCCCGCTCTGGTGCACAGAAGAAAGACAAAGCGGTCTGAGTCTGGCTTACAGAACCGGTCGATGGCTGCCTGGCGCAGGTTTCCCCGTACTCGCCCATCAATTCGCTCATAGGTGTATCTGAGGGGACCCAAACGAACGAAAGCCCAGGTGTTAATCATACTTCAATGGAGAGCAGCAAACAACGCAGGAAGCTGTTGACCCGCAGCCTTATATCCCTCACTTCTAAGTTTGGACCAACTGAGAGCAGTCTGTGAGGAATCCCTCCCGTCCATATAGGCAGCAGGGCAGACGCCTAAGACTGCACTGCAAAACGTACCCCCCCAAAACAAGCAAACAAAAACCAAAACATAACAAAAATATCAGCCACAAACTAAGGACCAGAAGAATTGTAAACATAAAATATCAATCCCCACAGCCTGAGCAACTTATTCTCCAGTATTTCCCAGTTTTCACTTGCACCAAATCTAATCATAAGACCAGGAAAAGCAAATAAGAGCCTCAAACATCTACTTTAAGTAGTGGTCTTCACAAGGAATCAAAGTTCAAATCAGTGTGTAGCTGCTCTGGGGTACCCTGAAAATGGTAAGCAGACTGTACTGACAGGCAGGCCTTGTGCACCTGGGCTGGTCATTTCCGGCCCATCAGTTCTCCCGGGCTGCACACTGCCATGCACAGAAACCACAGGAAGGTTTCTGAGCTGTGCTGGGGGCAGGGGGACAACAACTGAGGACTTTTTAGAGGGAAATAAAATGGGGAAGTGAAGCTGACTATCATTAAGAAGGCACATACCTGTGTGGAAACAAGGGTGAAAAGCACGGTAGGGGATAGGATAAAAGGAAGGAGAACATATTACTAGCTGTCCATTCAATTAAAGTACACAGAGGGTATCTTCATGATGGAATCACGTGATTAATACACAATTAAAATAGAGTAGCAATGTGGACAGCTGCTGACATCTTACTCTCTTCTTACTTACCCTAACAATGAATAAATTCACAAGGGGATATTACCCTGGGCCCAATTCCGACCGCCAAGCAGGAACTGGTTAGTAAAGTAGAACTAAAAGGAACCTTGTGACAAAAGGACCAAGTCGCCCTGGACCCAACAGCAGCCAGGAACATGGATCCTGACACAAACCTTATCAGTAGCCCACAGTTTGGGAAATCAGATCTTTAAAACCTCAGATAAATAATTGGTAAGAGAATAAGGATAGACACTCTAGGGGTAGATGACTCTGTTTGGCTCTAGAAAACGGAGTGTGGCAATAGGATTTCCTCCAGGATTCTGACTTCCTTGAGGAAAAGGAAAATCCATGTAAAGAAACCATCCAAGGAAATAACATGCAGAGAAACCAGACCAACTCAGGCTCAAAAGGGACACGTACAAAGCCAAAAAAACCAAGTCTGAAAACACTGTCTTCCTTTGACAAAGCCACAGTGCATCATCACTTGGAATTACAGGTGTAGATTTTCCCTTTTTCTTCTTTTTTAATGTAATAAACTTAAGCCTAATATGTGGGACTACAGTAGTAAATAAAACAGGAGGTGGTGACTTAGAAAGGCAGACTAGGAAGAGACTGTGTCATAAGATAAAAGCAAAGGGTTGTATGTCTGGATTCTATAAAACCAAAAGGCAGTTAGATATAATGGTCATTATCATTAATAATAGCCACAGCAGTAATATAAGCAGTAAGCTCTGACGAGTCAAGCTCTGTGCCAGGCACTGTGATACATCCTTGATATGCACCATCCCATTTACGTCTCATGATAATCCTAAGGACTGGTTTTATTGTCATCCCCATTATACATTCGAGGAAACTTCAAAAACAAAAACAAAACCCCCACAAGCAAACTAATTTGCTTAGTCACTGAGCAGGTGAGTGAGTTGAACTGAGACCCATTTGACTCCAAGTCCACATTCTTAACCAGTTTGCTGTATAGCCTTTGTATTGTACCCTACACTTCAATGCAGGAGGGTGGAAAGACTGCCCTGAACACCTAACAGAGAAAATTAAAGATAAATAAGAGACACCAGTAAATTTAGGAAGCTGATAACTCTAGTGGAAGCTGGAAGAAACTATAGGCACCAACATGGTTTTGATAAACCAGCGCACTGAGGTCTGTACTGGGTACTCAGAAGTTTGGGCGTGTGGGTGATGGGATGCAAGAAGCACAGGATTTGGAGTCAGGGGACAAGGTTGAGATTCAATTAAACAGGAGTTGTCACCACCCCCACTGTCACACATGTGAACAATTAATGCTGAAGGCACAGAGGACACCCCAGCCATCAGAGGAGAGCGAGATGCCCATGGATCGAGGGAGGCAGGGAATTAGCACAACTCTAAGGAGGAGGAGAAATCAATAAATAGCGAAGCTAGAGCTCAACTGTCCCCCAGGGAGAAAATTCCCATACAATTATAGTGTTTTGCCAGCTATGATCTAAAAACAGTTTGAGAAATTGTGCAGGATGATTGGAACATTAATTCTCATTTCTATTACTTGTTCAGTTTTGAGGGAGTGCTCTCAAAGAACACAAAACTAAAAATCCATCCCATTATGTGAGTTCTTTTAAGCTGTTCCTCACCCCCTCCTTTCTGAGCCAAATCCTTTGGCTATGCCCTCACCCCTGTATGAGAATATGGCATGAAATTAAGCGGGAACAAAACCAAACCGACAGCTGGAGAGACAACGAGGCTCAGAGAACAAAGAAAATCTTGAGGCCTAGTAAGTCTGAATGAAGAAATCAGACATCAAAAAATTTTCCACACCACACATCGGTGCAGTAATTAACCCTCTGCATCAACTATATTTTGAACAAAGTCCCTGGGAGTTTATGTGGCTCATCAAACTGTAATTCTCAGTCACTGTCAAATTTCAACAAGAAGCAGGTGGCAGCCTGGAAAACCTGAGTGCTTTGTTTTGGGGAGGGGGGCGGTGACGCCTTTTGGGCACAACAGGAAATGCTGACCTCAGAAGGCCTGAAGGGAAATGAAAAGCTTTCTCATCTCTCAGCAATAACTAGCTGGAAAACATAAAGAATGAAACAAATAAGGGCGCCTGGGTGGCTCAGTTATTAAGCATCTGCCTTCGGCTCAGGTCATGATCCCAGGGTCCCGGGATCGAGCCCCGAATCGGGCTCTCTGCTCCGCAGGAAGCCTGCTTCTCCCTCTCCCACTCCCCCTGCTTGTGTTCTTTCTCTTGCTTTGTCTCTCTCTGTCAAATAAATAAATAAAATCTTAAAAAAAAAAAAAGAATTAAAAAAATCCCATTCACAATAGCCATACACATACAGAATACTTAGGATTATGCTCAGAGTAAGAAATATGCAGGACTCGGCGACATGACTCTAGGTGCCATGTTGGTTGGTTCACCATGTCCCTTAACACCTACAAGGTTCTAGCACAAGGCAGGTACTTCATAAATATTTACTGAATCAACAGTGTATATGAAAGACCTGAATAACTGCAGTGAATATCAGGTTCTTCAGTTTTACAAAGATATCAATCCTGTCCTACTAAATGTGAAAAAGCCAATCAAAATCCCAACAAATGGATATGTATGTATAAATACAAATATACATATTTGTGTATATACACATACACTTATATATTATTTTTTTCTGTAGTCAGGGACTGTAGTCAGGGATAGATTAAAAAAGAATAATTCTGAAGTTTATCTGCAATAATACATGAGCAAAGGAATAGAAATACTGATCAAAAGAATACAAAGGTTAAACACACACCAGCATAGATAATAAGTATATTTTATGGGCAGTGTTTTATATGAATGGAGGAAAAGATGTACTATTTAATAAATAAAAAATCAGACACATTTGGAAATAAATTAGATCCCCATTGTATACCATTTGCCAAAATTACAGAAAGACTAAAGATTCAAATGTAAAATTAAAAAAAAAATCAAAGAAATCCAGTTAAAGACTCTCAGGTGAGAAAAAACTTAATTCAAGGGGTGCTTGGGTGGCTCAGTTGGTTAAGCATCCGACTCTTGATCTCAGGGTCAGGAGTTCAAGCCCTGTGCTGGGCTCCACGCTGGGCATGAAGCCTACTTTAAAAAAAGAAAAGAGGGGCGCCTGGGTGGCTCAGTCGGTTAAGCGGCTGCCTTCGGCTCAGGTCATGATCCCAGGGTCCTGGGATCGAGCCCCGCATCGGGCTCCCTGCTCA